CGAATTCCTTATTGACTCGTGCGAACAACTATTGTTATCTAAACCGAATTCAAATATAATAATTGCTGGTGACATTAACAATTTAAATATTCGATCTGTTCTTAATCAACTTCCATTTACCCAACTCGTTAAGACCCCTACGAGAGGGTTAAAAATATTAGATGTCTTTATTACAAATGTCCCAAACTATTGGAAATCTGTTAAAGTTGTAAAAAGCTTGGTGAGATCCGACCATGATATGGTTATCACATACCCCCGAAACATAGTTAAAGCAACAAGGACAAATTCCTATTTCAGAGATGTGAGACAACATCATCAATTGAATATGCTTCGTGAACTTGAATCTATTGATTGGAACACGATAATTATGAATAGCCATAACCTAGATGAGTTAACCCTAAAATTTTATGAAATAATATGGCCAAAATTCGATAAGAGCTTCCCACTAATTAAGGTCAGAACGTCATCACGCGACCCTCCGTTCATGTCTCCTCTTGTGAACCACCTTCTGAATCAAAGGAAAAGAGCCATACAAAACGGAAATACTGAAGCAAATACACGATTGCAAGAAAAAATCAACAAGTTAATTCGGGAAAATCAATTAAGTGCAGTCAAACAGGAGTTTGGCAACCAGAAAACTGGATCGAAACGTTGGTGGTCTAACGTAAATAGCATTACATCGAGAAAAAAGAAACATGATGTATCTGTAAGTGCTTCTCTTAACCCTATTGAAATTAACAAATATTTTCAAAGTGTGAATACAGACCCAAATTATACGACTCCCGAGCCTCTTCAAATCTCCGAAGGAACAAGAATTCCCTCGTTGTCAATTCATGAAGTTCAACATCTTTTACGCAATCAAAAACGCTCTTCATCGGGTCCGGACAATCTGCCATATTGGTTTTGGAAATCGTTTGCTATTGAATTAGCTCCTATTGTCACAGAAATTTTTAACATGTCACTAAAAACCAGCAAAGTACCTCAGAAATGGAAATCCGCTAATTTATTACCACTCCCTAAAAAATCACCATTAAATTCGTGCAACCAGTTAAGACCAATCTCTCTGACGGACATCATCATGAGACTATTCGAGAAGTGCGTGTATAAATCTGAAATCGAACCTATCACAAGAAATAACATTGGTCCTGACCAATTTGCTTATAAAAAGGGTCACAACTCGACTATGGCTCTGATTAAATCCCAACATCAATGGCTAGAGTGGCTGGATAAAAACGCTAATTATGTTAGAGTGCTGTCGTTCGATTTCAGCAAAGCATTTGACAGTGTGCCCCACGATCTTTTGTTTGAAAAAGTTAAAAAGCTACCAATTAATCCGTATGTGGTGAACTGGTTAATTAGCTTTCTAGAAAATAGAATACAAAGAGTAATGGTTGATGGAATGGTTACAGAATATTTACATATTAATCGTGGTGTCCCTCAAGGTACTGTTTTAGGCCCAGTTCTTTTCTCAATAATGGTTGATGATATTAAAACTGCTGATCCTAGTAATGCGTTAGTCAAATTTGCTGACGATTTGACGTTAGGAGTGCCTGGCAACGAAAGTGGAGACACATCTCGATCTGAAGCTGCCTGTTTACAGGATTGGGCGGAAGAGAATAGAATGCCCTTAAACTTGGAAAAAACGTACGAAATGGTTGTTCGCAGACACACCTCTGTAGTTTTGCCCGAACTTATCCCTTCAATTAAGCGAAAAACATGGCTAAAGCTTTTAGGAGTTACTCTACAAGATAACCCGTGCAACTGGGATTTGCACTTTGAAGAAATGTTCAAAAAAGCAAGTGGACGAATGTACATTATGAGAGTTTGCAAATACTATGGACTATCAATTAAACAATTAGATCTGCTGTTTGATAGCCTAATTATGTCGATATTCACTTTTGCTATTGAGCTGTGGGGTTGTGCATACGACGGTAAATATTTGAACCAAATAGATAAATTCATTAAACGTGCACATAAGAATGGTTACATATCAAAACGAACACACATTAAAGAAATACGTGATAAGAGAGATAAGAAACTGTGGAACAAAATAACATCAACTGAGGACAATGCATTGCTTGAACTGCTGCCGGAAAAAAGAAGTAGGTTACTTAGGCCTAGAGGGCATGAGTATGAGCTCCCCCTAGTGAGAACAGAAAGATTCAAAAGGTCGTTCATAAATCGTTGTCTGTATAACTTTGTTTAGACTTTAATCTATTAAAAACTTTTTAAAAACTTTTTACGCTTCTTAACTTACAATTGTAAATATAACTAGATCAATTACCTTTCGATTGTAAACTCAGACGGATGTATCTGAGTATTTTAACAAAGACTATTATTATTATTATTATTATACTCTGAGGACAGCGTTCCTCACTCTGAGGACAGCGTTCCTCACTCTGAGGACAGCGTTCCTCACTCTGAGGACAGCGTTCCTCACTCTGAGGACAGCGTTCCTCACTCTGAGGACAGCGTTCCTCACTCTGAGGACAGCGTTCCTCACTCTGAGTACAGCGTTCCTCACTCTGAGTACAGCGTTCCTCACTCTGAGGACAGCGTTCCTCACTCTGAGGACAGCGTTCCTCACTCTGAGGACAGCGTTCCTCACTCTGAGTACAGCGTTCCTCACTCTGAGGACAGCGTTCCTGACTCTGAGTAAGGCGTTCCTCACTCTGAGGACAGCGCTCCTCACTCTGAGGACAGCGTTCCTCACTCTGAGGACAGCGTTCCTCACTCTGAGGACAGCTTTCCTCACTCTGAGAAAAGCGTTCCTCCCTCTGAGGACAGCGTTCCTCACTCTGAGGACAGCGTTCATCACTCTGAGGACAGCGTTCCTCACTCTGAGGACAGCGTTCCTCACTCTGAGGACAGCGTTCCTCACTCTGAGGACAGCGTTCCTCACTCTGAGGACAGCGTTCCTCAATCTGAGGACAGCGTTCCTCACTCTGAGGACAGCGTTCCTCACTATGAGGACAGCGTTCCTCACTCTTAGGACAGCGATCCTCACTCTGAGGACAGCGTTCCTCACTCTGAGTAAGGCGTTCCTCACTCTGAGGACAGCGTTCCACACTCTGAGTAAAGCGTTCCTCACTCTGAGGACAGCGTTCCTCACTCTGAGGACAGCGTTCCTCACTCTGAGGACAGCGTTCCTCACTCTAAGGACAGCGTTCCTCACTCTGAATAAAGCGTTCCTCACTCTGAGGACAGCGTTCCTCACTCTGAGTAAAGCGTTGCTCACTCTGAGGACAGCGTTCCTCACACTGAGGACAGCGTTCCTCACTCTGAGGACAGCGTTCCTCACTCTGAGGACAGCGTTCCTCACTCTGAGGACAGCGTTCCTCACTCTGAGGACAGCGTTCCTCAGTCTGAGGACAGCGTTCCTCACACTGAGGACAGCGTTCCTCACTCTGAGTAAAGCGTTGCTCACTCTGAGGACAGCGTTCCTCAATCTGAGTAAGGCGTTCCTCACTCTGAGGACAGCGTTCCTCACAACGAGGACAGCGCTCCTCACTCTGAGTAAAGCGTTCCTCACTCTGAGTAAAGCGTTCCTCACTCTGAGGACAGCGTTCCTCACTCTGAGGACAGCGTTCCTCACTCTGAGGAAAGCGTTCCTCACTCTGAAGACAGCGTTCCTCACTCTGAGTAAAGCGTTCCTCACTCTGAGGACAGCGTTCCTCACTCTGAGGACAGCGTTCCTCCCTCTTAGGACAGCGTTCCTCACTCTGAGGACAGCGTTCCTCACTCTGAGGACAGCGTTCCTCACTCTGAGGACAGCGTTCCTCACTCTGAGGACAGCGTTCCTCACTCTGAGGACAGCGTTCCTCACTCTGAGGACAGCGTTCCTCACTCTGAAGACAGCGTTTCTCACTCTGAGGACAGCGTTCCTCACTCTGAGGACAGCGTTCCTCACTCTGAGGACAGCGTTCCTCACTCTGAGGACAGCGTTCCTCACTCTGAGGACAGCGTTCCTCACACTGAGAACAGCGTTCCTCACTCTGAGGACAACGTTCCTCACTCTGAGGACAGCGTTCCTCACTCTGAGGACAGCGTTCCTCACTCTGAGGACAGCGTTCCTCACTCTGAGGACAGCTTTCCTCACTCTGAGTAAAGCGTTCCTCACTCTGAGGACAGCGTTCCTTACTCTAAGGACAGCGTTCCTCACTCTGAATAAAGCGTTCCTCACTCTGAGGACAGCGTTCCTCACTCTGAGTAAAGCGTTCCTCACTCTGAATAAAGCGTTCCTCACTCTGAGGACAGCGTTCCTCACTCTGAGGACAGCGTTCCTCACTCTGACGACAGCGTTCCTCACTCTGAGGACAGCGTTCCTCACTCTGAGGACAGCGTTCCTCACTCTGAGGACAGCGTTCCTCACTCTGAGGACAGCGTTCCTCAGTCTGAGGACAGCGTTCCTCACTCTGAGGACAGCGTTCCTCACTCTGAGGACAGCGTTCCTCACTCTGAGGACAGCGTTCCTCACTCTGAGGACAGCGTTCCTCACTCTGAGGACAGCGTTCCTCACTCTGAGGACGGCGTTCCTCACTCTGAGGACGGCGTTCCTCACTCTGAGGACCGCGTTCCTCACTCTGAGGACAGCGTTCCTCACTCTGAGGACAGCGTTCCTCAGTCTGAGGACAGCGTTCCTCACTCTGAGGACAGCGTTCCTCAGTCTGACGACAGCGTTCCTCACTCTGAGTAAAGCGTTCCTCACTCTGAGTAAAGCGTTCCACACTCTGAGTAAAGCGTTCCTCACTCTGAGTAAGGCGTTCCTCATTCTGAGTAAGGCGTTCCTCACTCTGAGTAAAGCGTTCCTCACTCTGAGTAAGGCGTTCCTCATTCTGATGGCAGCGTTCCTCACTCTGAGGACAGCGTTCCTCTCTGAGGACAGCGTTCCTCACTCTGAGGACAGCGTTCCTCACTCTGAGGACAGCGTTCCTCACTCTGAGGACAGCGTTCCTCACTCTGAGGACAGCGTTCCTCACTCTGAGGACAGCGTTCCTCACTCTGAGGACAGCGTTCCTCACTCTGAGGACAGCGTTCCTCACTCTGAGGACAGCGTTCCTCACTCTGAGGACAGCGTTCCTCACTCTGAGGACAGCGTTCCTCACTCTGAGGACAGCGTTCCTCACTGTGAGGACAGCGTTCCTCACTCCGAGGACAACGTTCCTCACTCTGAGGACAGCGTTCCTCACTCTGAGGACAGCGTTCCTCACTCTGAGGACAGCGTTCCTCACTCTGAGGAGAGCGTTCCTCACTATGAGGAGAGCGTTCCTCACTCTGAGGACAGCGTTCCTCACTCTGAGGACAGCGTTCCTCACTCTGAGGACAGCGTTCCTCACTCTGAGGAAGCGTTCCTCACGCTGTGGACAGCGTTCCTCACTCTGAGGACAACGTTCCTCACTCTGAGGAAGCGTTCCTCACGCTGTGGACAGCGTTCCTCACTCTGAGGACAACGTTCCTCACTCTGAGGACGGCGTTCCTCACTCTGAGGACAACGTTCCTCACTCTGAGGACAGCGTTCCTCACTCTGAGGACAGCGTTGCTCACTCTGAGGACAGCGTTCCTCACTCTGACGACAGCGTTCCTCACTCTGAGGACAGCGTTCCTCACTCTGAGGACAGCGTTCCTCACTCTGAGGACAGCGTTCCTCACTCTGAGGACAGCGTTCCTCACTCTGAGTACAGCGTTCCTCACTCTGAGGACAGCGTTCCTCACTCTGAGGACAGCGTTCCTCACTCTGAGGACAGCGTTCCTCACTCTGAGGACAGCGTTCCTCACTCTGACGACAGCGTTCCTCACTCTGAGGACAGCGTTCGTCACTCTGAGGACAGCGTTCCTCACACTGAGGACAGCGTTCCTCACTCTGAGGACAGCGTTTCTCACACTGAGGACAGCGTTCCTAACTCTGAGGACAGCGTTCCTCACTCTGAGGACAGCGTTCCTCACTCTGAGGACAGAGTTACTCACTCTGAGGACAGCGTTCCTCACTCTGAGGACAGCGTTACTCACTCTGAGGACAGCTTTCCCCACACTGAGGACAGCGTTCCTCACTCTGAGGACAACGTTTCTCACTCTGAGGACAGCGTTACTCACACTCAGGACAGCGTTCCTAACTCTGAGGACAGCGTTCCTCACTCTGAGGAAAGCGTTCTTCACTCTGAGGACAGCGTTCCTGACTGTGAGGAAAGCGTTCCTCGCCCTGAGGACAGCGTTCCTCACTCTGAGGACAGCGTTCCTCACTCTGAGGACAGCGTTCCTCACTCTGAGGAAAGCGTTCTTCACTCTGA